TTTCTAATCATCCTACTACTTGTCTGCTTGATCCTATTCCATCTCATCTCCTTCAAGCCATTTCTCCTGCAGTTGTACCTGCACTCACTTACATCAACACATCACTTCACATTGGTGTTTTCCCTCAGCATCCAGACAGGCTCGTATAACCTCACTACTTAAGAAAACCACCCTTAACCCATCTCTTTTAGAGAACTACAGACCGGTTTCCCTTCTTCCTTTCATTGCAAAAACACTTGAACGAGCTGTGTTCAACAAAGTCTCTGCCTTTCTCACACAGAACAACCTCCTCGACAGCAACCAGTCTGGTTTCAGAAGTGGACATTCAACCGAGACTGCCTTGCTAAGAAGATCAGGCCCTTTCTTTCGGAACATGCTTCACAACTCCTTGTTCAAACTCTTGTTCTGTCCAGGCTGGACTATTGCAATGCTCTCTTGGCAGGTCTTCCAGCCAGTTCTATCAAACCTGTACAACTAATCCAGAACGTGGCAGCAATATTAATTTTTAATGAGCCGAAAAGAATGCACGTCAAACCTCTGTTTATCAATTTGCACTGGCTACCAATAGCTGCTCGCATAAAATTCAATGCATTAATGTTTGCCTACAAAACCACCACTGGCTCTGCAGCCCTTTACCTAAATTCATTACTACAGACTTATGTGTCCTCTAGAAGCTTGCATTCTGCAAGTGAACGTCGCTTTATTGTGCCATCCCAAAGAGGCAAAAAAAAATCCCTTTCACAGACTTTTAAATTAAATGTTCCCTCCTGGTGGAATGACCTGCCCAACTCAATCCGAGCAGCTGAGTCCTTAGCCATCTTAAAGAATCAACTAAAAACACATCTCTTCCGTCTTTATTTGACCGTCTAACTCTAGCACTTTCTAATTCTATTCTTTAAAAAAAAAACTTGCCCCTTTTAGACTTACACTCTATTCATTTAATAACTGCTTGGTTTCTTAAAAAAAAACTAACACTAACTTTGTATTCTATTTGTTTTCTTTTTATTTATTATACAATTAACAAAAGCAAAAAAGACCTCTAACACTAGCTTACTCTATTCTTTTTCTATTCTATTTTCTTTTTATTATATAATTTAAAAACCCTTGTTACATGTACTGCGTTAAACTAACTGAGACTTGTTATAGCACTTGCATATCATTGCTCTTTTGTTGATTTTGATTGCTTCCATTGTCCTCATTTGTAAGTCGCTTTGGATAAAAGCGTCTGCTAAATGACTAAATGTAAATGTAAAATACTATTGTAGTCTTTCTACTTCAAATTTAATGCACTTTCTTACTTGCTTGATTTTTTTAAATATTTGTGAAATGTACTACCAATTTCTGAGTAAAAATTGTATATGCTCCATTTTTTTCAGTGCATCTCTTAGTGTGACAGATTATAGGAAAAAAAACTTGGGTGGGACTTGGTTCAACGAGTCGGTTGTTGATTGGATGTTAAGACGTAGGAGCTGCAATCAAAAGTGGAGGCAGATGAATGTGAGCTTGCAGGAGCAGGTTTTAGTGACTAAATGATTGAAAAATTCCTGCAAACATCAAGTCTGTCGTTTTCACCGGAAGGTCCAGTTATGACATTTTGTTTAAACATGCATGCATTTAGAAAACATATTCATGCATTTAAAAAATAGGTGAATTTTCATTTCACGCCGTAATAAAATATGTCAGACTAATCTTACTGTGTTTCTGTGAACTCTGTGCCAAAAAAGAGTTCTTGTCTCTCTTGTGTAGAGACAGTCATTATCGGTTTTACTTGTTTACTCAATACTTACAAACCAAACCATACCATATGCTGTTATATAAATTTCTGGCAATACAATACAAATGCTTAATAGGTGACGAATTGTTTGGTATTGGAGTCAGGCCACATGACAGCAGGCCTGTTATTACAGCATTACAGCACCTTTTGTTTTGTTGAAGAAAAAAAACAATAACCCAACTCCTGCTGTAATCATACACGTGTACACCTGGCACACATATACAATACTCATGCAAAACTGTGCTTCTTCACCTGGTAGTTTACAATTCTTGTATAGTTATTAAACATGCATGTTTTATTACTGTAAAAGTCACTACTAGATAGATAGATAGATAGATAGATGTCAAACTATGTTGTGAAAAGTTTATATATTATAATCAATGCAGATTTGTTACAATGTTTCATACCTTATGAAATAGCTGGTAAAGTAGGCCCAGTTTATAGAATGCAAGGATCACACCCCCAAGGGCAGCACCCAGAGAGCAGCCCAAAACCACAGAAATGTCCATATCTAAAGTGGGTTGGTGGTTTACGTGCTAATGTCCACCTGTCCTGTCAGAAACCTGTTCAGCAAAAGCAGGAAAACAAGTGAATAAGCAAGCCGCTAACAATGTGTGTTTCAAAGTTGACTTTTCCCGTGGACAAATGGCGAGACGGCGGTCAATATTCAACACGCTGTCATTGTTGATCTTTTTATGGCCTGGTTAAGGTCAGACAACACTGTACCTGCCAGCTCTTCCTCCCCTGCTACAGCTGCTGCTGTGCTGAGGCCGATGAATGCACTCCTATTGACGGCGTCACTCCCTAACACAAACAGAAAGCACTGACTGGACCGAGAGTGCTACGCAATAGGCGGAACAACTCTTCCGCTATTTGAGTAATTGTCTTTACTTGCACATTCAGCGCTCTCAGTTGATTCACTTTGAGAATAGCAGGCTGCGCCGTAACGTGATTGACAGCGCAGTCATCCAATCGGAGGCTGAAACGTATCTCCGTTACTCTAGGAACCACCACCAGAAAATGTATGGCTAGTATTAAGAATTTGTTTTTTGTTTTTTATTTAAGAGTGTTTTGTTGTGGTTACGCAGGCATACTTTTTATTTATTTATTTCAATTTAACACAATCGATGTAGGTGACACCGTATGACCTTTGCTCTAATGCTGTTCGAACAAAAGAACTGAACTTTGAGAGCTGCCTATCACTTAATATAACAGGAGTAACACCTTTAGACATGTACTGCACGTTACACAGCCATCTGTCGTAATAAAGAATAAAATAAAACGTTTTAACAGGACCTTTTTAATTTTCATAGGTCATAGAAACAGCCAGGGGTGTGGACTCGAGTCACATGACTCGAGACTTGACTCGGACTCGAGTCCCAAATTTGATGACTTGCGACTCGACTCTACATAATTAAAGAAGACTTGAGACTCGACTTAGACTTTGACAGCAATCACGATCCGTTCATGAAAAGCGCTGCCCTGCCCGTTTGATCGCCGCCCAGCAGACACACGGAGCAGGCATGACAAAGAAGAGGCGTGGCCGCCATCACTTCACTGGTGCTTGCCTCATCATCACCGTGACCGCTGCTGTTAAACGCTAAACATATTCCTCGCTTCTTCTGTTTGTCCGACACCGAGGTGCAACATGAGTGATGGATCCGCACAGCCACTGAAACACTTACAATGCTGTGTAGTATAAACTTGTGAAATGTCAGCAAAACGTCCACTTAAGTGAGCTTTTACTTCACTCTAATCTTTTACTTTCACTCAAATGATATTTGATATTTATAAGACTTTTTGAACAACTACTGTACTTTCGGCAGTTAAAACAAGGTTGTTAAACAGATAAGTTAATCATAAGGTATTTTGATTTAAAAATCCTTATGATTAACTAATCTGTTTGCCTCCAGGCTAGAAATTTAAGATCCGGCCCCGGATCCTGTCAGAATATCTGTTTTTTTCTGGTAACAGAACAACTAGTCAGCAAAGTTGTCTAATATCCAAAACCCGTTAACAGTATTAACAGTCTTCTATCAGCCAAGAAGTTGACTGAGCAAAGCCAAAGAAGGGCAGAAGCAGGAGACGAAGTGATTATGATAAAAAAAAGGAGCAGTTTATTGAATAATCTTAGTTGTGTATATTTCAATGCTCAGACTTCGTCTGACCAGCACAAATCCATCACGTGTTATTATACCACAAGCAATGGAAAATTACTGCTTCACAAAAACGGCCTGTGACATTAAAAACCTTGAAATGGAGACAATCTTTTTACTTGTGAAGACAAATATCTCATAAAACCACACAACCATACGACTAAACAACAATGGAAAAAATAATAATATAATATAAAGGACTGACCAATAAATGAATCAATAAAATGGGTGTATATATATGGTTAAAATGATTATTAGAAATAATTATATGATTAAATTTAATAATATATTATTAAATGATAAATGGTTATCAATGAAGGATGAATAAAAGAGTAAAAAAAAGAAAGTAAAACACAACACAAATGTATGCTTGCTCTCTCAAAGCAACACACACAGGTTGCTACTAAGAACCCTTAGATCTTTCATTGCCCCCCCTTAATCATATGAAAACATTTGATTACATTGACTGATTAAATGCAAGCACACTTCCATAATCATCACCAAAAACATACTTTGAAAAGAACAGGTCTCCTCTGTCATACCGTGTACCAGCATCAGTTAGTGGAATGTGTCTCTGAGTGATCTGACAAAGCAAATCAGCACTCTTATGACAGTGTATTATGTCTAGCATGTTCTTTTATTTTAGAAAATCCTGTTGCAATTATTATATGTTGTGCTTATTTATATGATTCATGATAAGTTAATACAGGTGGTACAGGTGGAATTGTATAAGAAAAGACACTACAAGCAAAATCTCTTTTTTTTCATGCAATGGTCCGTTTTTTGGGGGGGCTAGTTTGCTTCCATAACATGTCTTCTATCAAACTAGAGGAAAGAAAACATCTAAAATACACATTTAAATATTTATTTTATTACTGATTATCCTTACTCTGTCTGTAGTTTAAATTATAATACTATGTTTAAAGGCTATGATTTTTTTTCTCCTGAACGGAGCCAAAATTCTCCCCTTTAAATGTAACATTTTATGTGTTATGTGTGTTTATGTTTTGATTTCATCAAAAATATCTTAATTTGTGTTCCGAAGATGAACGGAGGTCTTATGGGTTTGGAACGACATGAGGGTGAGTAATTAATGACAGAATTTTCATTTTTGGGTGAACTAACCCTTTAAATTCTCAAGGTTTTTAGAGGGGTTTTCTTTGTATACAAGTTAAAAGTTCTAAGTTGAAAGTGCCTTTTTTCTTGCTTTTGACAATATTTTCTGATGTATAGAGTTATAGAAAGAGATATCCAAAATCTGGCTTTATCCAGTGTTAAGACTACTGTTCTGGAAATGTTTGCAAATTAGTACATATTTAATCAGATAACGTCTCAACTGCATATTTAAACATAGTTCAGAAAACCTGTAATACAAAACAGCTGTCTTAATTTGATATGATTAATCAAATGGGGAAGTCTATTGCTAAATCTGTACTCTTCACTTGTGATGTCTTGCTTTAAGTAATTCAAGTTCAGATCTGTTTTGATGGATGTAAGCCTGAGATTCATTGTAAAGCTGCAGGTGTGTTTCATATGAGGGTGCAAAACAGTTGTGTGGATACGTCGACTGTCTTGCCATATTCTAGATTTTCAGCAAAATGGATTGTTTCCGCAGCTTTGAGTTCCTCAAAAACAACAATCTAAAAGATCGAAAGGAAGACAAAAGGAAAGGACTTAAAGGAAGACACATAATTGATTAATGCAGAATAACCAGTTTAGACATGGATGACGGCTTTTGTCATACTTCACCACAGTCAAATCTTTATTTACATGCAGTCATTTACCTCATTATCTCCACTCCTGAGCCAGGGACCAGGAAGATAGAGGGCTTTCTGAGGACCAACTGACCAGTGGCGTCCAAGATTTTGCCCGTTCACAAAAACCACCCCTTTACTCCAATTCTGCCAACAATACAGAACAAATTCTGTGTCTTCTGTGTTCTAAGGCTATGAGCAAACATGTCAGTCAGGGAAGAAAAGCAAATGTGAGCACACAGAAATAAAACGGTGTAGAAATTTGCTGAATACTCACTGGCAGCTTCAAAAACGTATCTGTGGGCTGATCCACTACCAGGGATCCTCTGAAAAACGCAGGGTAGGTGGGCTTCGTACCAACAGACGTCCATTTCTGAGACTGCAGTCTAAGAAAAATGGAGAGATTCAAGGAAGATGGAGAGTTTGTTTCTTCATCAGAACACATTCGAAGAAATATAGCATTACACACTTGCTCATCAATGGATCCTCTGCAGTGAATGGGTGCCGTCAGAACGAGAGTCCAAACAGCTGATAAAAACATCACAATAATCCACAAATAGCGTATATAATCCACAAACTGTGAGTTTGTAATCAACAAATCCATCATTAAGATGTTTTTAACTTGAAAATGTTGGATAATGGACTCGTTTATGGCCAGAAGCGACGGTTTAAAGTTAAAATGCCTTAATGGTGGATTTGTTTCTCACAAACACACAGTTTTTCATTTAACAAGACATTAACTGATGGACTGGAGTGGTGTGGATTCCTTGTGGATTATTGTGATGTTTTTATCAGCTGTTTGGACTCTCATTCTGACGGCACCCATTCACTGCAGAGGATCCACTGGTGAGTAAATGATGTAATGCTCAATTTCTCCAAATCTGTTCCAATGGGCGAGGACGAGTAAATTGCATTTTCATTTTTGGGTGAATTATTCCTTTCACTTTTGTCCTATGCTTTTAAAACACCAGTTCTTAAACCCCAGATAAACCAGTTATGCAGCTGAAGTTACCCGAGCCATTATAGCACTATAGATACACAATACAGCGAAAAATACTCAGAATGAACCTGTTTATGAAACTGGTCTTCATATCCAAACAGTGCATGGTGAACTTTTTTAGAGGTACATTGTCCAGAGTTATATCACCAACAAGCCCTGCATGGATCAAAATGAAAATGAACGAGCATGCTGTTATGGTCACTATACTCCTGCTCATATATGAGCAATATCACTCGAGTACGAGAGCGATACCGGCTCTATATCAGCATGGCTGTGATTAGGCCAGTGATTGACGAACTGTTGTATAACTATTATTATAGTATAGTGAGATGCAATTAAACCATGTCAATATTTGACCATTTTTACTACACTGTTACTACACCTTTATGTTGGTTGTCAAGAGCTGGACCATAGTTCACTCGTCCACAGTTCTCAACAAGCAAACTCAAGGTCCTCTCACTCTGTGAACAGAAATTAGGGAAATGCACAATAATTAAACATAAAATGTAATTAGTACAAGATTAGTACAATGTTCATATATTTAGAAAAAGAACGTTGCAAATCAAAGATAGAAAATGTGTTTTTAATTGTATTATTATTATGCAATAAGTAGTTTTCATACTACTCAAATCTGTTTTAGATTGAGGTTTTTGTTTGGCAGGTTTAGTTTATGTAAAACCTTAATAAACCAAAAATGCATCATACTTACCTTACTGTGAGGTATTTTAACTTTCTGTGTTCTATTGTCTAAAACACCAATGAGTTCTCTGTCAATAAACACCTTCAAAAACAAAAAATGAATTAGAATTCTCTCCTTGATTTAATTTGTTCTTTATTGTCATGCATAATAACCTTTATGGAGGCCAGGATTGATCTGGAAAAGGTCTTACTAGAGCTCTGTCACGAACATGGTTCCTTGAGTTGAGATCTCCACCTGAATAAATGTCAGTCTGATAGAGTGTGTATCCATAGGACTGACCATTGTTGTGGTTTGCAGGAAGGCTCTCCATGTTGACAGGATCATCAGCTCTGAAAAGCTATTGGATAAATGGTTTTTAGTCATTTTGGGAACATATCTTGCCAAATGTGTTCTCCTCTTTCTAGTTTTTTTTCTTATACCATGAACTGCCTTTCAACATGAAGCAGTATTCACAAACCCATTATTCTTCCCTAATGTGACATTTATTAGTAAAAAAGGATATTTATTGATAAAAACATGTATACTCTGAAATGTGTATGTTTGATGCAAAACAAAAAATGAGGTTTATTCTCACAAGTCAAGCAAGCACGGTTGAGCTTGTTTACAATATTTGGTGAGCTCATGTTGATCAATGCTTACATGTGAATAAAAGCCTAAATTAAATCTGTTCATCATATAAAGTGATGTGCAAGGCAAATGGATTGTTTTTCATGCATTCATATATATTATGGCATTGCGTCAGGCAAAAAGTAAGCTTAGATACAAATTGTCCATTCTATCTGGAGTGATTGCTTCACTTCAGAAGACCTGACTGCTCGATCTATACTTTTACAATGTCTTTATGAACTTTTTAAAGCTTAAAAATGGTGGTTATGTGTACTTTCAATGGACAGACAAAATGATGAGAGAATTTTGAAACAAAAATCTTCGTTCGTGTTCCATTTTTGAGGAAAGAAAAGAAGTGAATAAAAAAAATAATAATAGTGGGATACACTGTTCTTACTGTTTCTGCACATTGAAGACTCTCCCATAGTGAAATATAATGAGTAACTGCCAGCGGCTCATATGCTCTTCTGCTCTGCACATCTGGCGGCTCTGATATCGGCTCATCTGTCATAAATACAGACAGACAGACATGAAGAGACAAGGACAGAGGTACAGAGAGCTTAAATACATTTTTAAAACATCAGATTCTGTAATCAGGGACAACATTGTAGAAACATACTGCTGTAGGTGCTCAGCAGGTTCCTCAGGAGTTGATACTTGGTTGTATAATCACCACTTTCAGTCAGTGGAGCATCATAATCTAAGAGAGATGCAGAGGGGACGATGTTTAAGGGCCAAAAGAGTAAAAGCACACATACACTACCGTTCAAAAGATTTTAAAAATATTTTTGTGCTGCATTTGTTTGATCACAATGAGTAATATTGTGAAATATTATTACTTAAAGATGTTAATTTTATTCTTATTATAATTTACGATAAATCAAGGTAACTTTTTCTGTTGTAATATATTTTAAAAAGCAATTTATTCCGGTAAACAGTATTTATTTATTATATTTATCTTTTATAACATTACACATGTTTACTCTGTCATAACAGAAGAGATCCAGACACAATACATGTCAAAGCAGAGAGAGAATTTATCAGACATTAGAATATATACTGACAAAAGGAAAAGGATCGAAGGCCTAATTCCCCTGCTAGACGAATGTATGCCCTTGAAGCATGCAAAGATTTTGTTACATTAATGAACACATTTGTTAAAATGGAATGTGATATGAACTGTTTATTCTTGAGGCAAACTTCACTGTGGTTCATACACTAGTCATACACTGAAAACAGTAATATTTTCAAATATTACTATAATTTAAAAGAACTGTTTTCTTGATCATGTGACACTGCAGACTGGAGTAATGGCTGATGAAAATTCAGCTTTGTTATCAAATCACATATTGTAAAAAAGAAATGGTTCTTTTAAAATCGTAATAATATTGCACAATACTACTGTTTTACTGTATTTTGACCAAATAAATGCATCCTTGGTGAGCATAGAAGACTTCTTTTAAAACCGTAAAAAAAAAAAAAGTTAATTATTTCAAACTTTTGACCGTTAGTGTGATTGTGGGGTTTTAAAAACCCAGGAAAAAAAACACTTATATTGAATATACATACAACTAACAAGCCGTATATGAAAACCAATATATTTGGTACAGTAATCACCCAGAACACAGGCAACACCTCTAGCAACTCTTTTGCTACTAATATTTTCCTCAGCACATGTAAAACTCTTCTTCTTATAGTTCAGAAATATCATTAATACATTTCATATAAATAAATAAACAAACAAACCAACATCACTTACTCCAGATCCAGCTCCTCCTGAAAAAGATAAACTCCTCTTTCTGGTTCATGAAGATTCCACGGCACGTACCTGACAGACAAAACATGACGAATATGACTCTTCAAGAAGATTCTGAGGGGGAAAGAAAAAATCTGTCATGGTCTTACGTGGTGAGAGTATTGAGACCACAGGCCTTGAGTTTGAGCAGCCGGTCTCTCCAGTATGCCCTGGGGACCCGAAAGTAATGGATGGAGCCTCCGAGGATCCGAAATGGGGCTCCATCTAAAGTGAAGTGGGTGGAGTCTGCCCTCAGTCCCTGTCTCTCTGACATTCTCTGAAAGAACCACACTATTTAAAAAAATGACAGAATATTTGATATAAAATGCTGTAATTAAGCTCACACTTGGATTGAATCTGTTCAGTGAGAATTATTAAAATATAAAAAGAAGTGTGCTTAATTGTAGTGAATGTGCACTTAAAGGGATAGTTCACCCAAAAATGAAAATTTGATGTTTATCTGCTTACCCCCAGGGCATCCAAGATGTAGGTGACTTTGTTTCTTCAGTAGAACACATATGATGATTTTTAACTCCAGCCGTGCAGACAATATGATATTAGTCAAATAAAAGGCAGTTTAAGTGTATAAAGAGAGCACACATTTATGACTATGTTTAACACACTTAAGTACACACTTTTAAAAAGTGCACTTTGTAATAACGACGAACACTTTAAACCTCATGTTTAATAATCTTTTGTAAGACTTTGAAGTACACTTATTTTGATGTGTTAACTAACATAGCAAAGCACACGTAAAGTACTTGATTTTAATTTTAACAGTAGTGTTAAATTTATTTTAAATGTGCAATTTTTTACAAATGTGTAATCACAAATGTATTTAAAAAAATTAAATACAAGTTTCAGTAGGAATGCATATATTTTAGTTACCATAAATGTTTGTCAGTACAATTGGCATTTTAACCACATTTAAAAGACAATAGAATTATGAAATTACAATTTACAATTTATGTATTTAAATGAGCACTTTTAATTTCAACGAACTGCATTTAACTTAAACTTACACCATAATGCATTTTTATTTAACTGTAAATAACATGCAATTAAATGTCCAAAAGCATTACATTCGGTTTACATTTAAGTACATTATTTTAAAGTGTATTATTTCTATAACAAGTACTTTTTTAAAATTACGTTAAAGTGTACTTTCTATAAACTTGTTAGAACACTGAGCAAATTGAATCTAATGTATCAAATGGGTCTGATTCAAAATGACATACACTACACATAAAAACCAAGATGTATAAATTATATATTAGCCGTATTATTGAGTCTTACCTACAACACTGTTACACTGGCAGTTGTTCAGAGAGGAGCACTAAGCTGTGCCACTGTACCAGCTGGATCAAAGGGAATCAATGAAGCAAAGTCCAGAATACACTGATACAAAGAGAACAAGGCAGGCTTTGTTTTGAGGAGCAAACAAACATATAGAATGCTGTTGTTGTGGTTTGGGGTGGAGGACTAAATATAAGCGTACTTATAGTATAGGCTACTATATCCTATTATCCATGTGATTCTGAATTTATTTTATTTTATTTCTTAAATATATGTTGTTGTTTTTTTGGCGTTATTTAATTATTTTAATCTAGTCTTTAAGGAAAAATGGCTTTTGCTACATTGACCACATACCGCCACCATGTGGTGTAAACCATCCCATACAAACAATACTTATAGTATAGGCTACTATATCCTATTATCCATGTGATTCTGAATTTATTTGTATTTTATTTCTTAAATATATGTTGTTGTTTTTTTTTGGCGTTATTTAATTATTTTAATCTAGTCTTTAAGGAAAAATGGCTTTTGCTACATTGACCACATACCGCCACCATGTGGTGTAAACCATCCCATACAAACACCATTCAACGTTCACAGTTCCAGTTCTTTAACAAACAAAACAAAACAAAAATACTCGTTTGCCTAATAAGCATAAATTCCCTTATTTTGACAACTTCTGCCTGTTTTTCGATTGGTCTTAATTTGCTAATGTGGATAGAACAAACTCAAAAAAGCAAATAAGAGTCACAAGGAAGGCACGTCCACTTATACAGTCATATAAATATGATCATAAAAATAGTAAAAAGTCCATAGAATAGACACTTCGTGTATCGACTACCCTTGAATTGTCTCGACGAGCTTTCCTCGATGTGTTGACGTTAAGTTACTTTTAAAACAGGACGTCGTGGAGGGACATAACGAAAGGCTCACCGCTTTTTAAATAACCAATAACCTTTATATCTTACGTTTTATTTCTGCACCGTAAAAATAAATGACTCACTTTAACATTAGCCTATCTTATTTTAGTCAGCTGCTCCAGCGCTGGTTCCAGCTCCCAGTCTGTGTTGTTGAGCGACATCTACTGACACTACAGCCCAGTGTTGCCAACTAATTTTCAGGGGAAGTTGCTAAAGGAAGGTCCATTTGTTGTTAAAAGTTGCTAAATGATGTTGTGATGTCATTGCGCGATGACGTCATTACGTAATCACGACGCAAAATTGTGTCACTACATCAAATCTCAGCAAAAATATATTTTTTATGTTAATTTACATTTGTTCGTAAAATACTATAAATGCATAATATAATGTTAAAATATAAATAACTATTTTTTATATACAACATTGAACACTTTTGAACGATTTAATTTCTGAGCGATTACAAGTTTTTTTATTAGCTAGTAAACTAGTAAAACTACACATTCAAGCAATAACTTAATTCATGTGATGTTGTATACTTCTAGGCATCTTTGGTTTCCTCTTTTTGTGAAATTTAGATGGAAAATGTGTGCCTTTTTATTGTTTGAGTCACTTATGAAAAGTTGCTAAAAGTAGCCAAATAAAATTTAAAAATAGCTAAATTTGTTGCTAGGTGTAGTCTGAAAAGTTGCTAAATTTAGCAACAAAATTGCTAAACTGGCAACACTGCTACAGCCGAGACATGCTAGATAATATGAAGATTATAGCCTACTACATAAATGAAAGTATTGATTCCTATTTCTATTTCATACATTTGATTTTGAGTTTTTTTTTTTTTTTTTGGTACCGTGTTTGTTCACAGAGAAAGAGAGATTAGAGAGATTGGCAGAACTTATCATTTATCCTCGCTTTTATTTAAGTTGTGGAAGTTTAAGCTGCCGCTTATGCCGCTTAATTTTTTTAATTAGGCCCGAAACGTTTTTAATAATTTGGTTCCAAGTTATTTAGTAAATAATTTTGATATGTTAGAGATCAGCATACCTCACTAGGAATTACTGTACAATATTTGCCCATAAATCTATAATTAAAACCCTCTATGGTATGCATTATGTTCTTACCATGAAATATTTTTTTAAATAAGTTTTTATTACATGAAATAGCTTCAATTATACAAATCAAAACAAAGATTTTTGGGGGGTATTTGGCCAAAAAAAAGTCGTTTTTCTATTAAATTATGATTTTCTTTTCAACTGAAATGCATATTTCTTTTAGAAATTGATGCATTCAATCTTAATTTCCATCCAAATCTGCCACACATACATACAGACACATATACACATGCACACACACACACACACACACACTCGTATCGTTAGTCACTGAAGGCTAACTCATCCTCATTGTCATCACATGGAAGAGCCACTCTGCACTCATCCTATTGCCCTTTCCGTTAAATATTGCTGTATTCATTTGCTGAAAAGAATAAATAATTTTCTTATTAAAAAATAACAACAATTAAAATAAAATAAGATATCTAAAAATAAAACATATATAATGGTAATATGCGGTAAAACTTTAAAAAAGTTTTATGGTCTATGGCACATAAAATCTTTAATATTTCACTTCCTTTTTGCATGAGATATTTAAGTCTGTCATATCACACTCAGTAAACTGTGAATGTGTGGTTAGATGTTTAGTGGTAGCTATGAGAGAAACTGCAGTTTGTGTACTGTCTTTGTTTTGGTCTGTTTTCAGGTTCATTGGCTCAGCATGTTAAAAGAACTGTTGTTACCTGTGATATATTTTTATACCATTAGCATGAAATTGCACTACACTCATTATATCTTCAGAGTTGTTTATATCACTGGTTTGCACTCTAACTGCCATGTGCCTTATGCCACTTTTTCTATCTCTTTTCTTTTTTTCTTTTTTGTTTTTTTTTACAATGTCCTTATTTATATATTGTATAGGTTGTATTTTATATATTTTTCGAACTGTATTTATCTGTATTATGTCTACTGTTAGTGTTAAGTGTTAACTGTATGCACAGGGTCT